CGTTATTTGACGACGGGAAAGCGCGCGGAAAGGACTAAACTCCGGACTTCCGGTACACAATTTGCCGCTCTGCCATTGGTCAAGCCAGTTGTTTGATTTGCGCGCGCAGTCGTCAACAGACGTTCCCGTTCTGTTGCTAAATCAGCCTAATGTGAGGCAGGGTACTCAAAGTAATTAGAAACCAAACCATGCCGACGATAATTCACGTACGCAGGTGCACGTTTGGCGCGGTACAGTAACAAGAATCTTGCAAGAAATTTACTCCAACCGAACAGATGTAGTATTTTTTCAGTGACAAACTTTACAAAAAAGGCGCCTTGCCTGGTGCTGGTGAATATTCCTGTACCAGCTCAAAGAAGAACGTTTTAAAAGCTTTTTTGATATCACGTTCTATTGTAAAATTTTAATATACCTGTAAACGGCCAGTTATGTATTAAACAAAAGCAAAAACGTTATTTTGCACGAAGTTTTTAAAACCATATGGACCCGTATGCGTATACTTGTCAAAAGTCAGCAGCAGCTAGGAAAATGGAGCTAATTTTAATAAATAGAAATACATAAAATACTAAGTTCAAATAAACTGAAATCATTTTACTTCGTAAATCAATTTTAGAATTCATTTAATCGTTTTGGTAAAATCGATTTAAAAACTATTCAGCTGACTATTTATATAGCCCTCCGTTAAATCAATAATATATGGATTTAGCCAGGGCTAAAAGCGAAGCTCTCGATAAATTTTATAGTTTGCTGAAACAAAATATAAAATCGTATAATGTTAAGTGGCGAAGGCAAAGAGCCACGGTAAAAAAAGACAACAATAGGTCTAATTAGTAAAAAAGCAATTTTGCACGTGCAGCACGCTTTTTTTGTACATTTCCGCTTTGCAGTTGTTCTTTGCACGACTGCAACGTGAAACTTCCAGAAACTTCCTAGTTTTAATACACGTTTTATGAAGGAAATGTCTCCAAAAGACGCAGGTGGCCATACGTTTCCCGCCAATGACATTTGGCACATCGGCTTACTTGTAGTGGGTGTAAGGACCGGGTCGTTCGGGCGTACGCTACGTCATAACCATGATATTTTCTTGCCTTCATTGGGTTACCAATTGAGCTCAGCTCTGTCGCGTGGAACTTCCGCTACAAGACTTCTTTTAGTTAATTAATGTAAGACTTCGTCGACACCTCTGCAGTTAAATCTTTGTTTAAAATTATATCAAAAACGTGCCTTCCTTCTCGTCACCTAAGACCACACTTACATTTTGCAAATACATGCCACTCAAAATACCCTATTCGTCTAGAGTAAACAATGTATATCCATGATCTACCTTATTCTCCTTTATTTTCGCGGGACTTAAATTTCGCGAAAATTTTCACGGCATATTTCGCGAGTCTTTAATTTCGCGATCGCGAAGAAAAATTGTGCTTGCAGGGAATTTAATTTCGCGAAATTGACGATTAAGTGACTTTATTTTTTCCTTTTTTACAAAAATTGTACGTTAATCAACAATTGAAACAAAACCAATATGCTGTCCCTTAGCGGCAGCTGTATTCCTCTAAAAGTTAGTCTTATGTTCTTACGAACGAAACAATATCTACGATCGTTACGCAATCGCAGCTAACAAACGGCTCCGTGGTCGCCAGGCCGATTCGATTATAGGCCATTTGCCCAGAGAGATTTCTAGAGCTACTCGCTTTTTCTTATTAAGAGGTGGGATGGTTTATCTTAAAGTTACTGATGAAAACTATTGTCGATCTCCATTGATTCAGAGAGGTCTGGAAATTCCTGTTGAGGTGATATGTGAAATGGACGATACACCAAGGAACAGGGCAATAATGGAAAGATACAAGACACCCGTAACTACACACTACAAGGAGCCGGGACAGGATGGTCAATTTGACGACTGTACAAAGGATGTATTGGAGGAACTGTGCGAAGATGATTACTCAGATGCCGAAGAAGAACTTGAGGCGAATCTTGACACTGATTAACATCTAAAGTTGAAAGATGATAGCTCCTTGTACTAACACCTTGTGTTAAAAATTGTTTAGGACCCTTGAAAACACAAATACATGATTTTTCTATGTCCATTAAATTTCGCGAGATCAAAGTTCGCGGTCGTTATTTTTCGCGGGTCTTTAAATCGCGAATTTAAGACCCCGCGAAAATTAAGGAGAATAAGGTAGATTTAGCGAAGGCTAAACGCGAAGCTCCTGCTTATACATTTATAGTTTACTTCAAAACAATACATTTGGAACCATTGCAAAAAAATCCACAACCCTATACTGTAGAGGGAGGAGCATATGATTTTCGAAGGAGTCAGTAATTTTAGAAAAAAAAGAATACAAACATTCCTGGAACAAAAAAATCTTGCATGCCGAAATAGTCTTCTATTCACACCAACAAAACGGGAATAATCTTCGATCACAAAATGGATATAGAAAAACATTTATGCCCAAACTAAATCTCCCAATCGCCCACCTATACCTCTTTCTTTTCTGAAGTTAAACTCGCCTTACTAAAAAGACTACCCTACTCGGCGGGGCATAATTTACACGTTACGACTTATCACTTTAATCTCCCAATGGGAAGGCCGAAATGAAAACTCAGGCTAATTTTGGGGGGTTTACCTTTTTTTATCTTATTTAATAGTAGTCTTAACTGTGCTAACAGGTACTGTTTGTTTTACGTACGAAACTACTAATAACTATATTCTACAGTTATTGTTGTTGTTGTTGTGTTTTTGTGTGTCTGTTTGTTTGTTTGTTTTTTTCAACATAGTCTGACAACATAAATTTAGGAATTTCGGTTGCGTTTTCCTGAAGTCGAAAAGCAATAATGAAAATCTTTATTCAGTCTTCAAAAGACATATCGGAGGTTACAAACATCGTTAATTATAAGATTCACGGTGACTAGGAAATAGTATAGACGTTCTCTTAACCGGTGACAAGAGCCATAATGGCCGGTGTACAGCCGCCTGAAAGGAGAATTTCTAATCAGAAACTGCGAGTTAAAGGGTTAAACTACACTTGTGGAGTAATAGCGGAATTCAAACCAGAGACGGAGAAACCAGGGGCACCCAAAGGCAATTTTCGGAAAATATCTGTTCGGAAGACGATTTGAGATCTAGAATTTTAGGAACATTTGTTGTAAAATTACATGCTTGCCTGCCTCTCCTAGGATTTTCGAACATCTACAAAATGGTATAATTACTCATTTTTAACGGATTTTTACCCTAAAAAAGGCCACCCAGAATTTTCGGGAGTCTTTTCCTGGCTGAAATTTTCGAAAAGGTAAGTTTTGATCCCTATAATTTTCGGATCACTAGACTTTCGGCTGGGAAATCCGAACAGATGAAAAGTTTTTAGGGGATAAAAATATACCTATATCTACCGTTTAAAGACTACAATACGTTCAACAGTGCTATGTTAACTGGTTTTGAACTATATCCTCGTTGGGTGCCCCTGAGAAACGACTGAGTTGAAAATATATCCTTTCTCTAAGCCATTTAGCACCGAGAACTATTTACTCATGACTTATAACTATTACTATTACTATTATAACTTACTTATAACTATATACTATGACTTCTGTGTCTTCGTACATTAACTCCACTTGAACGTCTTAGTCTTAGCGTACCTTGGGAAATTTTTTTCTTGCTGCGCCCCTGATTAAATGTTTAAGACAAAGGTCTTTTGTCGATATGTTAGCTAGAGTACGTGACCTCTTGTGTTCGCCTAAGTAAACGTGAGTAAACGGGTCATTGATTAAAATGAGCTATAATGTGATATGCCAAAAGATCAAGCTGCCTCGGTCTCTATGGATAATCAGCATGTCACTGAAAACTATAGTAAAAGTATTTTACTTATTTGCTTTATGGCGGAGAGACTGGTTGGAACGTTGTTATGCATGAAAAGTTTTACCTAAAGATATGATATCGGTATTCAGCAGCTATGAATTTCATCTACGCATAAATTAGTCTGATCCATAAAGTGTCACGTCACATGTGAACCTAAGGGCCTGTTTACATGAAGGTGGGGGAGGGGGGGATAACCCTCCTTTAGATGCAATCTTACACCCCCTCCATCCCGGGGTACACTTTCTTAAGATTATTGAATGGTCGCTAAGCACGTAAACAAGGAAAATGCCGGCAAACCACGTTTTTTGGTGATTGATGCACTTCTACACTCTGATTAGATCCTTTATTAGGAACCGGTCCTTCTTTTTTTGTAAGCTGGTTCTTGCTTCAAAAATTGAATTTCTTCTACACTCACTTGCTGCTCTTGCTGCAAGCTTCAGTGCTTTGGCTTTCTATTGTTACCTTTAATAATGATGCATAGCTACCGCTAAAGACTGAATTTTGCGCGAATTTAGTATCCCGAATCCGACCCCGGCTAGGCGGGTTACCCCACCTTGAAACGTTCACATGGGAAAATTTGACCCGGCTGATAGGGGTCAATTCGCCTTGGCGGTCACCCCAGCTACTGTGATGTAAACGTGATCAACTAAAATGACAGATTGTATCCCGGGGGGGTACTCCCATACATTACCTATAGGGGTATGTGCCGCCCAAAGGGGTCGTGATTTTGAAGCTCCTGATTTAGAACGGGGTATCCATTTCAGACGCGTTTTATAGAACGGGGTATAATATTTCGAACGCACAAAAGCTCCTCTTTTGTAAGCAGCTGATTTGAAATTATTCAAGGACAGATTGCTTTTAAAAATACGGTGCAATGCGTTAACAAGCAAACTGTTGTACTCTTCAGTTGCACCCTAGAACGGAATATAAAAAATTGGCCCATTTCTAGAACGGGTATCAGTTTTAGGGCGAATTCTAGAACGGGGTATAAAAAATTGGCCCACTTCTAGAACGGGGCATCAATTTTAGGGGAAATTTTTTTTAGAACGGGGTGCCAATTTGGAGTCCCGGGCGGCACATACCCACCCAAAAAATACCTAAATGCCCCCCCGGGGATTGTATAGCCTGCGTAGCTGGCGGTATTATGTGGGTGCGAGATTAAAGTTTTGGCGGCGGAGCAGTGTCTGACTCGACTATATTACAACGGCTCCGCCGCCAAATCTCACTCGACCATTACACAATACCGCCAGCTCTGCAGGCTACAGATTGTATGGACAGGCGGGTTACCTCACCTACCTGGAGTCCCCCACCTCCATGTAAACAGGTCCCTAAAACAATCAAAAGTCGAATGTGTTTAGAGTGTATGAATTGCTGGACGTTTCGTTTATTCCGGTCACAAATATTACAAATGAATATTAAAAGAGGCAAATTGAAATCTGACGAAGGAAAATTGTTTTCCTAGAAAGAAAGTTGAACAAACAAAATTATAACCAATACCTAAGGCATTTGAATTACTGAAATTTCCCCATTGCAAATTTTTTTGCGAGCAAGTACGTGCTTAGCCTACGAACAGCAGACGCATTTCTGGTTGTCGCTTCTCTCCCTCCGCTATTTTTCGGAGGGAGAGAAGCGACGACCGGAAATGCGTCTGCTGTTCGCAGGCTAGTACGTGCTTCTTCGAAAGTCACGTTCATAACTGAGAGGATTCGTTTCCCTTGACTTCAGCCTTCGGATCTTTACGTCAGTAGAACCTATATTGAACTCAGCGTGTCACCCGGCTTCCCTTAAAAAAGGAAGGAAAGCTATTGGTATACGTGATGTAAAAGAGTATATAATTATTCTTAAAATTTCTGCCGCTGTTAGCGTTGTTTTATCGCGATTATTGCATTAGCTTTTAGAGTGGGAAAATTTGAAACTTTTGACAAGCAGAAGGTAAGATCGCTTTCATTTTGTGCTTCATGACTTGAAATAATCACTATTAGTAAAATCCAGCCAGTGGTCTATTATCAATGCTGCGTTCTGATTGTTTGAGCTACTACTAGGCTATATGTTATAGCCCACTAGTAGCGAAAAGCGCCGGATTTTTGGCGGCAAAAAGGATTAAAGTCTTGCTTTAAGTTGTTTTGTCTCAATATTTTTGACCAACTACTTGGATTTTACTAAAACAATTATTCCTCTCACCTTCATGGCCTCTGAGGTAATAGCCCATTCAGCCTTCGGCCTCATGGGCTATTGACTCAGAGTCCATTAGGGATCTAGGAATAATTGTTAATGATCACTTCAGTGCCACCCAACGAGTAAAAAGACAAAGAACCTACGTTTTCCCAAGTTAGTCTCATTCAAGTGGTTCTTCCATAAATAGTAAATTTAGGTTATTTACGTTTTTGAATAGGATTTTTATTTTTTCGAAAAATACATATTGTTGTTGCGAGAATGTAGGGCTATATATAGCCTATTTCTTCTGTAAACTGTCCAAACCAAATCACTGTTTTTGCAAAAATCACTGTGACAAGAAAAATTAAAGCACTAAGCACATCAATTTTTAAGTCTTCCTTCAGAGCTCACATCTTTTTAAATAGACATAAATTAGACCCTGTTTTAAGGCTAAACAGGTTACTGTAAGCTGTACGCTACATGCATAGACTGGGTCTACAGCTATCTGGCAAATTTTTGCCCAACAGATTATGGAAATCTAGATTCTTACTTGCAGGGTAACACTGTATTCATTGAAATGGGTTTCAAATATGGTTAGAGCAGCATGAACGCCCGAGCGATTTAATAATTCCGGTGCACGATGATTATTTGATAACTCTTAGATATCGTATGGAAACAAATACTGAGTGGAACCGATCCCGCCATCTCAATTCACACTATTCGATCATCACACTATTTTAACTCTTCGACTTAAAACCCCGAACGAACACTTGTTTTCATGGCCCCACATTTATATGGTCGTTCAGTTATCGCAACTGTTTCTATTTTTTTCTCTTGTCCAAAGTGTTATTACGGTCGGGTGGCGAAAGCGAAGCTCAAAAACATGCCCTTAAAATCAGTCAAAAAGCATAACGCTGAAACCTATCCGCTTTTAGGCCTCAACTGATTTGAATGTTAAAAACATCATTTATTTATTGAATCATTTAACAGGACATTTCCATTCCTGACCACCTGATGGCGAGAAGCTGTCCTAATTCAACACCAAGTACCGTGACCAAAACTGGGGCGTTTGATGATGATACATTAAAAGGTATGAAAAATCTCCTCGATTCTATTCCAATCTCGATTATTTGTCCCTTATCCCACTATATCAAACCTCACACAATATATTTGCTTCTGATTTTGATGGTGTTCAATAACGCTGCGCTACAGTAGTCGGCAGATGTCAGTGCCACATGGAAGTGAGTCCATATTATAAATGGTATCACGCGCATGTAAGGATGGGGAGGAATTTGACCTAGTGGAGCGAATTTGACCTGCAGCCCCCAAGTTCCGATGCCGGGAAGATTTTGGAGTTTCGAGTTGATCACTACGGCTTAATGTCCTTGAGGGCAGGCCTCGCGTGACTAATACTATACAAAAAACACTACTATTGTGGACACAGTTCATGACCTTAAAGCCAATAAGGCCTTTTATTTGATAAGATAATTTGATCGATGACACCATCTAGTACCCAATTCACAGGCTCACGTGCATAGGACTGTCCTGATCGTACATATAGCTTGTGATGATATGCACAGCAATCGCCGAGGTTTACAACAACGAAGGCGACAGTGACTATGAAAGAGGAGACTTTTACAGTGCCATTGAAAGTTACACTCAGGGAATCAAAACCAGCTGTAAGGATGACAAGCTCAACGCCATTTTATTCACAAACAGAGCAACTTCCCTGTTAAATTTGGGTAAGAACTCACACAGTGCGGTCCTTTGTTAGGATTGGTTTTCGATTTTCCATTTCTTTGGACTCCTTGTGTGTAGGTCTGTATATCCTTTTTCCGCGAAGGCCTCTTTGCGTCATATGGAGCTTACCTTTTTTGTTTCTTTGTTTTGTTTTGTTTGTTTTAATTAGTTAGTTACCGTATTTATTCGAATAAGCGCCCAACCTCGAATTACTGCCCACCTCCAATAAGCGCCCATCCTAAAAGCAGAGAAAGTTAATAAGCGCCCAGCCTCGAATAAGCGCCCACCCCCCCCTCCTCCCAATCAAACTCAAATCAGCGCTCACCCCCACCCCACCCACTTGAGTGAATAAAATCTAATAAGAGACTTCCCCGAGGACGGCGTTTTCTTCAGAGTATTTTACAGAAACCTTGCTTTGTTAATTCTTTGCAATTTGTTATCAGCATTTATTGTTTTGTTGCAAAATAAACATACTTCACTTGCTGAAAATGGTGAAAATTTAATAAGCGCCCAGCCTCGAATAAGCGCCCACTCTCAAGGTCCAAAAATTTAATAACCGCCCAGGGCTGTTAATGGAATAAATACGGTAGTTATTTAATTAGTGAGTGAGTGAGTGAGTGAGTGAGTGAGTGAGTGAGTGGTGAGTGAGTGAGTGAGTGAGTGAGTGAGTGAGTGAGTGAGTGAGTGAGTGAGTGAGTGAAGTGAGTGAGTGGGTGAGTGAGTGGGTGGGTGACTGAGTGAGTGAGTGAGTGGGTGGGTGGGTGGGTGAGTGAGTGAGTGAGTGAGTGAGTATGGTATAGTAGTATAGTATATCTTCATTGCGCCCTTACTCTCCAAAGGGAGGCATTGGTCTAGTTACAATAAAGGTTTCATCACTACAACAAATTATATAAAAGAAGAACAGAAACAACAAAATTATACGGCATGTACCATTTCGATAATAATTATACTATAATTTAATCAACTAATCAATTAGATTTTTGACTCAGGGTCTGTTTTCTTTTTTTAAACATTAGATGGGCATATTTTGTTATAACTTGTGAAGTATTGTCATTGTCTAATCTGAGTAAATATATAGAGGATATTACACGGTGGCGCGAAGACATGAATTTTATTTTCGAGTGGCAAAACAATATTTTACTCACTCGCTGCGCTCGTTCGTAAAATATTGTTTTTGCCATGTTCTTTTTATTATAATTTATAGAAAAAAAGACATCTTTAAAATAATAGATTTTTATTAGCCAAAAAGTAATTGTGACGGCTCAAATTTACAGCACAGCAATATAAGATGTTGTTTACAATATTCTTGAGAAATAACACTTAGCCGAATAAGGCTCTACAATGACAAAATATAAGCAAAGCTTTGAAAAATGTGTAAATAAAATTCAAAAGACGCCTACAAATTTTGGAGGGAAGTTAGCGAAATTAAGTCATCGATGTGTGAGATTATGGAAAATAAACCACTCGGGTCCCGGATGTAGTTTTTATGAATTTTACGAGTGGTATATTTTCCAGTAAAACACTTGTGTCTATGTAATAAAACATTCTATCATGATCTGTTAAATTGATGAAGGTTAATTGCATCATTGGGAATTAGTACGTCTTGATCAGAACTATGGCGAGTGAGACGAGATTGGCCAGTGATCAGAAATATGAAAATAAAGTTTCTGTCTAAGACTATGGTATTCAGTAAAATCAATTAAGAAGTGTTTCTTGTCTTCTATGCAGTTTCTTTTGCAAACTAAACAAAGCCTTTCGTCTACTGCTATAGAAGCTACTTCATTTTCATATTTACCTGTTTGTATAAGTAAAGTATGAACTCCCAATCGCAGTTTAGTCATACTCATTCTATGAGCTGGATTTCTAACTATCTTTAGGTATTCTTCCAAGCGATAATCTTTTTTAATTTCCTCGTTTGTATATTTTTGTGTAGAGAGAGCCGAAATGTCGTTTTGAGCTTTAAACCAATCTTTGAGAAAATTTTTCTGCAACTGTTGTTTAATGCTAGAACGAGTGTTCTTAACACATTGCTGGTTTTTTATTACCTGGATTTTGTAGTACATTTGTATTGTTCCGTCACTATTTAATAAACTAGTAATAGTTGACACTACAGCTGCCCCCGCTCTGTATATTGTCGGTCTATAGTATTCTTGGTCGTTGTGTACCTCTTTGAAATATACCGATTCATAAATAAGATGTTCACACATATTCCATACAATAGGTGAGATAAATACAGGACATAAACGCAAGGTTCCATGCACAGTTTCCGTTCGATTTACACAGCTTTGATTAAAACATTCTCAGTTTCGAGAATAGTTTATGCTAAACCATAAGAAAAGATTTAATTAGAAGTTTAATTTTTCGCTATTTCTATTTCACTTTTTACATTTTGTTCATTTTATTTGCTGGAAGGTAAGCGTTAGAAATTGAAAGAAGGTTTGATCAATTTACGCTCGCGTATTCTAGTCTTATTTTAAACTTTATAGCGGAAGGACATCTGTGAGCAAGGAATAAGTCAGCCCAGAATTTGATGGTCGGCGAATTTCTGTAATCGTCCATCGTTCTGCTACTGATAAGCTAGCCGTTGAATCATTCGCTCGTCTTGCTTGTTTGGGGCCGAGTCTTATTCCGGTCAAAGAAAGAAGAGAGTGTCTGGCAAGGTTTCCAATCAAAGATTTGTGAACTCGTGTCTGGCAAACTCACTTAGTGTTAAAATATACACTGTTATACGCACCTTATAACTTCATCTGCGCTTAACGAGTGTCTTTTGGTCTTTTGGTCCATAACTTTCATAACAACTGCTCCACTGAATGTCACCGATCACACGTAAAGTAAAGGAGTATCGACGTACGACTGCACAATTAATGTCACGAACAAAATCTACCCATTGTAAGCGGTCCCTTTTACGTCATCCTAACCATTTCGTACTTGCGGGCGCAAACAAGAGAAACGTCATCATTACCTACCGATTCCTCGCGGCCCTTGTTCAAGGAAATCGAGATTTTTTCTATGTTGACTGTATGACTGTATATTTCAACTGTAAGTACTTTCCTTGATATACGCGCGAGTTACTAGACTGCCTCCTCGGGATTTCACCTTCTGGGCGAAATCCCTGCGGGGGCAATCATAAAACTGACTGTGATTTCTTTCGTAAATAATAGCTTCATTTAAGAGAGGGTTGTCTGATTTTTGTTCTAATCTTTGCCAGTAACATAAAAGGGAGGCCTTTATGTCTATAGATAAATGGTATCGGCCAAGTTCGGCTCTTGTAGGTTTCAAATTCGTCTGTAAACTTTAATAGTCTTTCAAGCTTCTCATCAATTTCAGCGAGACGAGCATTTGTTGACTTGCATTTGGGGCAGCCATGGCTGTCGTCCTCGAAGACATCCTCGTCTGTTTGTGAGCTTCCTTCTCGTCTACGCTTCATTTTTCTTTCTTTGAGAGCCTCTTACCAATGTAACTTGGGTTCAACATGTTGGTCGAGTTTGTGGGAGTTCTTCCTTTGGTTATTCTTCCAGGGTACTTCAGTTTACCCTTCATCTCATCAACCAATATTCGCAAATTTGAACAGGAGTGGCCGACGAAGGGCCTCTTTATGGATAAACTACCACTTATATTTTCACATTTTTTATCCAACAGGAGACTGTGACGCTGCTTTGAGTGACGCAAGAACAGCGAAAAATCTTGATCCAACTTATATCAAGGCAATAGCGACAGGTGAATTCAAAGGGGAGAGACGACAGTTAAATTGTTGTTGTTCGAAATATCTATATGACGTAACTGTTTATCAACAGGATGCCTAAAATAATTGCAATTGCACAATTAGTTTCGGCCCAAGGATCCATTTCTCGAACGTCCCGATAACCTTTCGGGCCCGGAAAGCTGTTTTATGTAAACCGTGTTTGCATTCAAGATCAAAGTTGCAATATTTTTGAAAACGATACAATGAAAATATCAGTTAAGGAAGCAAAATTGACTGGTTTGTGAGCTAGGAGCTTGCAACAATTCAACAAGTTTTGATTTCAAAATTTACCTTCGGGCCCGAAAAGTTTCCGGGCCTATCGAGAAACGAAATCCCGTCGATGTTTCGAATTAATCAAAGGGAGCAGATAAAGCATTCCCGCTCTCATGCCATGTTTACTACTCTCATTCCACCAAGCCTCGATGTACAGTTTCCGCTCTGTGAAACACTTTAATTCTTTTATACACCGTAAAATCATGCTTGTGATCTCAAGTTTTTAAATTATACAAGGTCACAGCGTCACAGTACAACATGCCATGCAACGGCTCTGCCACTATCAACAATAGGCCATTTGCACTAAGAGGCATGTGACATCGTTTTTATGAAAATGAAAGTTACATGATTTTGCCTTCGAAAAACGATTAGTGGGTCATATGTTAAACAAAATAATAGTCATTTGGTTTTTCAAACCCGCACCATTTTCTTAAAATGAATAAGTTCGTAAATGGTCACTTGACCAAAATGTGATTTTTAAAATTAAGAATTACCTCTCTCTGAACACAAATTTTGCAATTAAACTTCAAGGAAAATGTTAAAAAGATGATGTGATAACGTTTACAGCACATCTGAGCGTAACTATGAAACGTTGAACAAGATATAAGCAAGAAGTAGTTTTGTCCGCCATTTTGGAGGGCAAAAGCATGCCCTTCAACATGACGGCCAATACAAATCATACGACTTTGCTGAAAAATCAAAGTGCCATAAAATATCTCCCTTAAATGCGTTTCCTCTCAAATTTCGGGTGTAAGATAATTTTTGTGTGCTCTAACAATTTTTGGCATCAGCAAGATTCCAACTCATTGTTTAAAGGAAGCATTGGTTTCGTGACCTCTTAGTGCAAGTGGTCTATTGATGTGTAAGGTTTACCCCAAATATATGATTCTTCCTTACTTTAAGTTAATGACAAATTTTGTTCTGTTATCGGTACGCACGTATGGTATTCAGAAATGAACAATGAATATATGGGGGCTTATTACCGAAATATTGCTTTTGCTAATAGATAAACAATCTTATAACCAAACTGAGCTTATTAGCTGGGGTTTATTTTACGTAGTTACAGTATTTTTACTATGCCTTTGGATGCGGCGGTCTTAGTCACGTGATTGTATTTTTTTAGGAGCGAGCGCCTGTATGAAGCTGCGTCTCTTCAGAGTAGCCATCAAGTGGTGCGATGAAGGATTAACAGTATCCTTTGACTTTAAAACTTTTTCAGCGTGCTCATGTATTAACACACAATACCAATACCACAATTAATGTACTCCCCCTCAATGAGCTTTCGCCTCCATTAAAGACCTTAAAAAGACGGACACCTCCCTAAAAAGACACCAGTATTGGTCCCCGCAGTTTTCAGTTTTCAGTTTTTTGGTCTCTTTAAAGGGGGCACCACCTCTCTAATATGGATACTTTGTGCTGGTCTCAAAGGGACCCATCTTAGAGGAGGTTGAAAGATAAAAATGAACAACTTTTTTGTTTACCCTCAGCGCGCTAGTAGGGCCAAGCAAATCAATGACTGAAGGAAACCATCTAAATCAAGCATAACAAACAGCGTTAAATATCCCAACTGGCTACCTACAAATATGGTCGAGGATTTAAACACGAAGCTACTTGAACGAATCCAGCAAGCGGGTCGGGGAGGGGCGGTGGGCTTGAACTCGGGGCCTTCCAGACCCTTCCAAGTTTACCTTTTGGATCATTATACGTTTCTGGAAAACTGCCCACCTACCCCTCCCCTAAGCCAACATTAACACTTACTTCTCACTAAGGGGGTGTTTACATGACACCGGGGCGACTTTCGTGCCGGCACGAGTTCACTCCGGTTCCCTCTCATGGCTCTATATTTGTTTACACGATACCACCATAAAATATCATTCCGGCGCGAGTCACCCCGGCGTGAGTTCACCCCGGTTGTTGTACCTGGGCGAGAATTTCATTCCGGTACGAAATCTCGCAACGGTATCATGTAAACGCGAGACGACAACCGTTTCGGCGTAAAATCGGTCTGCCGATAGACTGGAACGGGTAGCGCATGCGTAATGTTTGCGATTTTGGATCACACGTGTATTTTATCAACATAAAGTGTACCTTCAAATAACGAGATATGAAATGACCCAGTCATCATGTAAATGTGATAGGAAATCAAAAAGTCATCCCGGTATGAAACTCGCGCCTACGCGAGTTTTCTCATGTAAACACCCTTTTAGGGCAAAATGTTGGCTTAGGGGAGGGGTAGGTGAGCAATTATGATAAAGACAAGTTAGCGAATGTCCATCGACACTGCTTGAAAGTTTAAAAGTGGTACGTTGACAGCTGCTCTACAAAGTAGCCAAATCTTTTTATGGTAGGGGGCAAGTTCAAGCCCCACACCATACAAACGCCAGGAAAATTCGCTGAATTTGCGAAGATATATCTTTGTTAGTTTTCAACAAATCACGTTCAAACTTGCCATCTTTACTTATTTAAGACGTTCTTTTTTGTCGTTCTTTCCAGCCACGCAGCCCTTAGAGGGTCATTAAACGTTTCTGGGAAACTGCCCACATACAACATTAACACTTTCTTGTCACTTGGGGCAAAAAGTTGGCTTAAGGGAGGGGTAGGTGGGCAGTTTCTTAGAAACCTGTTATGACCCCAACCTTGACTATACTTGGGTGAGGTGCCACGCACACCTAATCTCTTGAGTCCGTCATTGAAACTGAGTGCCGGTTCGTCACTTTGTTTCAGCTCCCCATTGCTGTCAACAATAGGAGGGTGATGGCTCCCGACATTACTCTTACTTGCTACAACTTCAAAAGTTACGTGTCTTAATTCTCGAAAGATCGACAAGGAAAACACGACACTATTAAAACTCAAAAACATAACTCTGAAGAGCAGAGAAAAAGTGGAGGAGACGTTAGAGTCTGGAAAAGCTGAAGCTAAGGTAGTCTTGTGCATCCTTGCTTTATAATTTTTTCACTGCACTCTTTTATCAGTATACAGCCAAATCTCACGTAAGCGACCACCCTTGGTGAACGACAAGTGGTCGCTTACGGGAGGTAGTCGTCTACGGGAAAATCAAGCAAAAACAGCCAAACTGAACTGATTAACGTACATTCTTTTCTTTTTATAAGAATGTTGTTTTTTTAGGCTGAATATGCTTATCTTTCTGCCGATTTTAGGCTGAAAATATTCTTGTATTATTCTTAAATTGTAGCCTCTGACTTTTCCGGTTTTGAATATACAGGGGTATTAATTGCAGTTAGTGACAATGGCACGTTGTTTTGCTTTTTGGTGGCTAGTTTTGCAATTAAGAGAAAGAAATAATTTCAGTTACAAACATATAATTGTATTGTATTAACAGATTTTCAACACACAAAATTATATTCATTTCAGCCATGGGTTATCATATTCTTGAAATTTTGCAAACTTCAGCCTCGCTATTCTTATAAAATATATTCTTATAGAAAACAAAAGAGTGTACACATATGTTATTCACCGGCTGGGAGGTCCGTATTGGGAGAAACTGTGCCCGTACTAACAGCGCGGTTATAAAGCTCGTGAAGCGACATCACGAGCCACCTGTTTTGCTTTACTTTAACTGTTTTCGTAGCTAACTGCTTTCGTAACTAAACTTTTGTGAAATTTGAGTAATGGTTTTCTAAGACAATCATACGTGATCATGCCGAGTGATCGCTTACGGAAGACAGAAAACATTCATTCATTCATTCATTTATTTTATTTTGCCATCAACCAGAAATACAACAACAGTATACAGAAATACGTTAAAGATTATATACGATATTGCAACTAAATTATTTACAAGATCAAATGTGATAAAGACAAGGATGCCTATATAGAAGCCGGAAGCTTATAAACCATACAAGTTAAGGGTACTGAATGAAAACAAAAGAAAAAGAATATGTCAAATTTCTGGCCTAAAAGGTAGTCGCGGCCAAATAATATAAGTAATGGTTGCTTACGAGAAAGTTTTTGAAACTTTATTTGACTGATGAAAAACAAAACGATTTTTTTGAAAGTGGACGCTTTCAGGAGGTGGTCGTTTACGAGAAGTGGTCTCTATGACATTGTTGAGAGTATAACATACACGCCAACAAAACAAAGTGAGAAATTTAACCAACGGTTACACTTTTTGATTCCATCAAGACTAAACAAAACCAAAAAAATGGATCAATATCACCAATCAGAAGCTACAGACATTACCTTTGGACCCTGTTGAGGAAGGGTTTTTGTTCTTGGGACGTTCGATCCGTTAGGGAAATTTACGAAAGCGAAAAACATAAACTTTTAGGGCTAATGCACCTATCAATGTAAATCCCGTGGAGGGGGGGGGGGGTGCGGGCAAGGGGCGGGGATTTGATGCCTGAGACTATCCCCCTGTCGGGCTTTTGATCGTGCGAAGCGACCCCGGGGTCGGGACATTTGACTTTGACCGACAGAAGTCTGGTATCAATTCAGAAGCGGTTACCAAATCCGTCCCTCGAGGCTTTCTGAAAGTCACGCTGTTGGAGAAAGGTATGAAGTTTTCATTTGTTTTAATCGCCATAATCCGATACTTTAAACTGTCATCTAAACAGATAATGTCTATTTTGAGAAAGTTTTTATCTTCAAGTTCCCATCTGATGGTAAAACTCGATTGAAATCGAATTCCACCATGAAAGTCAGAGGATTTTTTACGGGTTACTGATCCGACCTGTTCCGACACGTTGAGCAGCTGTTATAAAGCATTTTACGTTTCATTAATATTGTAATAGCACGGTCAATCTTCCTAGACTGATTTTGTTGTTCAAAATAGGAGATGCTAGTGGAAAGAGAAAATACTTAATTACAGCGAGTAATTTAACGGAGCTTACGTTTAGTAAGGACCTACTTTTGAAATGTTCAGTATTATAGTATTGTTTGTTTAGATGTTTTCCCCTGGGGTGGGGGCTTTTTTGACACTTTTGATTGACCTTTCGTTTCCCACCTTAGGGAATTTGATCAAAAAAGTTTAAAATTTGTCAAATCCCCACCCCTTGCCCGTACTTCCCCCCTCATACGGGGTTTACATTGATAGGTGCATAAATTTTACTTAGGAGTTTGTAAGTTAAGCGCCACAGCTTTGCACCTAACTTAAACACAGATTCACTAAAAAGTAACTACAAGATCGCCGAAATACGAAACAGATAAAAATCGTAAGAAAACCAACACAAAGTGCCCATCCCTTTAAAACGAATGATGTATCACAAATCATCTTCAGGACGGAACGTTTACGAGTTCAAAGATTTACTTGAGAGGAGTGTCTTATAAATTACCGGTGTAAATGTTATTTTCCCAGTGGTCTTTGGGTAATATCAAACAGATATTACACAGATTTGAAAGAGTGAACGGCTCAGTAAAAACAAAACAAAGCCTCCGGGTTCTTGACTCTCTAGAAATCAAGTTACTATATTGCCAATTATTTTAAATTCGCATTTGCTATATCTCGCCCCTTGCTGGATTCTGAATTCCTCGCTTTGGATTCTCGGTTCCAGATGCTGGATTCCGATTCCTTGTCAGTGGAAATTGGATTCCGGATTCCAATCATTAGCGGGATTTCAAATTCCAGGTGCTGAATTCCGGATTCCAAAGCCCAGGATTTTAGATTCCACAAGCAAAAATGTTCTGGATACCCTGGATTCCGGAATCCAGATTATCTTACAAATCACCATGTCTTTAGTCTCCTCAGAGTGAGCCATTGACGGATGAGTTAGCCTCCAACGGACCAGCTAGAGAAGTCTACGCGTATGAATTCCTTGGCAAAAAATATCTCGATTTAAATGATTTGCAAAAAGCCTTAGAGTACTTTCAGTTAGACCTTGGTATTGCTAAAGAGTTAGGAAACAAGACAAGAGAGGAATATGCTTGCAACCTTCTTGGCGTTACTTATGGCTCTCTTGGTAAACTAGATAGAGCCATCGAGTTCTACGAGAATGCTCTCCGCATCGCCGAAAACAAAGGAGATAACGATTCAGAAGGAAAAATAGCTAATAACCTGGGTAATGTTTTTGTTTTTCTTGGCCAATACCAAAAAGCCGTTAATTGTTTTCAAAAAGCCCTCGGCACTTGCAAAGCCCATGGAGATAAACTAACAGAAGGAAAAGCATACAATAACCTTGGAAATACGTATCATGCTCTTGGTGACTTTGCAAACTCCATCGAGTTTTACCAAAAGGCGCTTAACATTTCCAAACACGCTAAAGACAAAGCTGCAGAAGCAAAGACATATGGTAACCTTGGTCATGTCTACAGATCTCGTGGTGACATAAAAGCAGCCATCGACTGCTACGAATTGGCCGTCAGTGCTTTCAAAGAGTTTGGAGACACTGCTTCCGAGGCAATGGCTTATACTAGTCTTGGTAATTGTTACAAATCTCTCGGTGAATTCATGACTGCTGTGAAGTATTACCAGAAGGCTCTTCGTATCGCCAAAAAAGTCGGAAAGAAGCTTTCCGAAGGATCGGCTTATGTAAACCTTGGCGCAGCTTATTGCTGTCTAGGAGATTTCGAAAAGGCTATCGATTTTCTTCAGGAAGCTGTGATGTGCGCCAGGTCCGCAGGTTTTAAGGTTTTAGAAGCGAAGGCAAATAACAATATCGGAAGTGTTTATCGTTCACTCGGGGATTTTGAAAAAGCCGTTGAATTCCACCAACAAGCTCTAAACATTGCCATAGACGCTGGAGACAAATCAACACAAGGAGGGACATACAACCTCCTCGGAAAAGTTCATTTCTCTACAGGCGACTACAAATCCGCAATCGAGTTGTTCCAGCAAGCTCTTTGTATTGCACAAGAAATTGGGGAGAAATATTCAGAAGGGCTAATACATGGAGACCTTGGCTTTGCTTATCGCTGTCTTGGTGATATACGTAAAGCTGAAGACTGCTTCAAGTCAAGTGTAAAGTTATGCGACAGCCTCAGGGACCTGATGCAATCAAAAGACGAGTGGAAAATCTCATTCAGGGATCTACATAAGAGATTCTACAGTAGTTTGATGGTCACTCAGTTAGAGCAGCATAAGACGTTTGAGGCACTTTTGACTGCTGATCGGGGACGCGCACAAGCATTGATGGACCTTATGGAGTCACAGTATAACGTAAAAACTACTTCCGCGATACCTGAGATGCAGGCGGAAACCATTTCATTCATTTCATCGCCGACAATTTTTGTGGCACAGATCCCAACCTCAATCAATTTTTGGGTACTACAAAAGGGAAAAAAATTTGAGTTCGTGACGAAACAAGTAGACCGGAATACTTTGCAATCTTTGACGGAAGAAGTTTTCAAAGAAATCGGTGTCTTCCAAAGCGTTATGTGTGAGAATCGATCCCTTGATGACCCAACAGATGAAGCCACAGAAGATTTGCCCGATGGTAAATCGGACGAGTCAGGATTGAAATCGACTCCTTCCAAGGATAATGCCTTATCAGCATTGTCGGAAGTGGTTATGAGGCCGATTTTACACTTGACACATGGTGACGAAGTTGTGATTGTCCCTGACGGTTCATTGTTCCTAATTCCTTATTCTGCGCTTCTGGACAAGCGTTCCAGATATTTGTCTGAAACGCTTCGACTACGGCTGATGCCTTCACTTTCAAGTCTTCGTCTTATGGCAGAGTGTCCGCTAGAACGTCACAGTACGTCTGAGGCACTGATTGTTGGTGATCCGTGGGTGAAGAGTGTCCGCATCAGAGGTAGCAGCAGACCACTCAAGCAGCTTCCTGCTGCCAGAAAGGAGGCGGAAACTATTGGAGAAATTCTGAAGACCCTTCCTCTAATTGGGGAGTACGCGACCAAAGCTGAAGTGTTAAGCAGACTGAACTCGGTTTCCCTGGTACATATAGCAGCACACGGTAGTGCGCGCACAGGAGAAATTGTGTTGTCTCCTAATCCTACGCAGTCTAAGAGACCTAGGGAAGAGGACTTTCTTCTGACAATGGCAGATGTTATTAACGCAAAATTGCAAGCCAAACTGGTTGTCTTAAGTTGCTGCCACAGCGGCCGAGGGAAGATAAAAGCAGAGGGTGTGGTGGGTATCGCTCGCGCATTTTTGGGCGCTGGTGCACGTTCTGTTCTTGCATCCCTGTGGGCGATTGATGACAACGCCACTTTGGAGTTCATGATGAGATTCTACGAAAATCTGGTGAAAGGACAAAGTGCTAGTAAATCGCTCAATATGGCCATGAAATCCATGAGAGAATCAGAGAAGTTCAATGCCGTAAAATACTGGGCTCCATTTGTCCTGATCGGCGATGATGTAACGTTGACGTTTGAGTAAATACAAGGTATTTTTTAACTGACATTGTTTATACTTACCAATCAGATACGAAATTCATTGATTTTACCGTCCTTTCGCGTTCTCTTACCGTAACGTACTCCCCAGCTGAGAACATTTTCTAGATTTTTTCATAGCATCTCTAGCTAGTGTCCTCTGCCATGTTTACTTCCACTCCAGCAACAAAGTTATGACCTCTATTTATAAAGTGTCTTTTCATGTTAACTTACACATTAGATGTCAATGCCACCGTCACTTGTCATCCTTATGGTGTGACTAGTTAAGGCCCAGATTTCATAATCGATCCACAGAAACATTGCATTGGCCCAATCGATCGATCATTGATCTTAATTGCAAAAAGTCCCTCAATAATTAGATTAATAAAATAATTAATAAAAATAATTAAATTCCATTTCTTTTTTACTGTGTGCAAGTCAACGTATTGCACACTGAAGAGTAACCAAAAAAAATTTCGGAACTTCAACGGGATTCGAACTCATGGCCTCTGCGGTAGCGCTGCAGTGCTCTACCAATTGAGCTATGAAAACCAATACCTTGGGAGCTGGCCAATTTGTTGAGTTCGTCTTAACCAGTGAATGGAATGAAACAACGAAGGTGATGTGAAGTGCGGAAATACCGATTTAAATGAAGATATGGTCGTCGCAGAGGTAATTACAATTTAAGCAATTGCAAATTAACCCGAAAACATTTTCGGGACTTCAACGGGAATCAATCCCATGGCCTCTGCGTTAGCGCTGCAGTGCTCTACCAATTGAGCTATGAAGACCAATACGTTGGGAGTCGGGCAATTCGTTGAGTTCATCTTAACCGGTGAAGTCCCGAAATTGTTATAAAAACTTTTTTATAAGTTCTGTTGCCAGGAACGTCCGTTTTAAAGCCCTTTAGAGTAGTGAAGGAAATTTTTTAATCTGAATTTTGACTCTAGCCTTTCAAGCATGCTTCTTCGTCTGCGTGGAAGGCTATTTTACCGTGACTATGGACACCTTTGGTTATGAAATCACGTAACACCTTTTTATTTTGGTTTTCTTTCTTATAATAGGTCAAGATAACAAGCAATATGTCTTTGACTACCGTCTGAATGGACGTTTCTACCTTCTAAGTATATATCGCTATCAAAATGTTAAAGTTCAAGTTTATGACCTGATAATTCTTTCACACCAATCCTAAAAATTACTTACATGTATAAATAACAGTTGTTTGGTTGTCAACCTTCAAAAGTTTCTTAAAAAGCAGGGGCACCCAACGACAATTTTCGGAAAATATCTGTTCGGAAGACGATTTGACATCTAGAATTTTCGGAACATTTGTTGTAAAATTTCTTGCTTGCCTGCCTCTCCTAAGATTTTCGAACATCTAAAAACTACTATAATTGTCCATTTTTAAACGGATTTTTACCGTTAAAACGTCACCTAGAATTTTCGGGAGCCTTTTTTCTGGCTGAAATTTTCGAAAAGGTAAGTTTTGATCCCTATAATTTTCGGATCACTTGACTTTCAGCTAGGAAATCCGAACAGAAGAAAAATATTTAGGGGATAAAAATATGCCTATATCTACTGTTTAAATACTAAAATAGGTTGAACTATTCTATGTTTACTGGTTTTGAGCTATATTCTCGTTGGGTGCCCCTGAAAAAGTTCAAGTTTAAAGTTTTAAGCTTTTATCAAGTTCAATCAAAACAGCAACGTACGTGCAGCTATACCTGCAAGAAACAAACTAAGGCTTATCTTATCTAAGGCTTATCGGGAGGAGCTATACTATGTTCACAGCGGTCAAACGAGTGAAATTTGCAAAAGTTAAGCGAAATACTTCAAAGTTAAGGTTGCTACTTTCACTATCGAAAGTTTAGGGTATTACCAACATCCTGTTAGTTTACTAAACTTTTTAAAAGTTTACTAAAAAAGTTCTAAGTGATTGAAAACCGATGCTGACCTTATTATCGGCGCCATTTTCAAACATGATTCTCTTTCAGCGCGAAGCGTTTTCAGCGAAAAAAGCTCAAAATTTTGAGAAAAATGGAAAGATAGTTATGTTGACTAACTGATTTATACATCTTTGCCCATTTTTCTCTAACTGGTAAATGAAATCCCAGCAATAAAAAACAAAAATAACGATTTAGACGTTTGACCGCGGTGGTTATACTATGACACAGAAACATTTAGGCACTGTTCACACTATACAGAATAGTTCTCCCGCTGGTACGAAAGCCATATCGGATAGGCAGAGTGAACAGCTGTTCCGAGAGAGAACAAGGGGATAGAGAGAGAAACTTGAGATATGTGAATTTCACCAAAGTTATTTTTAGGCAAAATAAAAGCTTGAGATCGGAAGTTGGTTTCCAGAGAGGTCCGCAAACTTTTATTCAGTGTTTCAAGAGAGAATATGGGACATTATGCTCTCTTGGTCTGCCCATTACAATATTGTGAATTGTTCGCTTTGAGGCAGGCGCGTTTGGACTCGATGATATTTTAAACAATCAATTAAATTGTGCGGACGTCCAAGGAATTTGACTTTCGTTTAATGAAAACCGCTAAAAATTAACATTAGTGGATTTGACGTATCCCGGCCAACGCTCTAAGATTCACTCTCTGTTCCATTAATTTCTCTTGGGTCTTCTCACCAGGGCGGAGTAGTTTTCCAGTCGATTTTAAAAGCCAGGGGCGGTTCCAGGGGAGGCCCCGTTTAGTTTTAGACCAAACTGAGGCCCGAAGGGCCGAAAAAGTTTTTTTTTTGAGGCCGCCCCCGCTCCCACCCCACCCCCCTCCTTATTTGAAGGTCTGGATCGGCCTCTGTAAGCTATCTGGTATTTAATGTAGATATACACAAAGCAGTGAGAATTAAGTGTTCATTTTAGCTTAGGGGTGGGCAGTTTCCCAGAAACCTAAACTGATCCCACAAAGCTTATGACAAAGGACAAATTTCAAATTGTATCACGTGACCAACCTTTTCCTACACTTGTTATTTACTGTTCTCTATATAAATTTCATCATCATAATCGGTCGACTGAAGAGCAGTCGACTGTGAGGCGTCTCCAGCTGGCTCGTTTTTTGGCAGTGCGCACGATGTCATCCTTTTCCTAGCCTAGGGAAAGGCCTCTGCGGAGCCTGGTCCTAGGCTATCCTTCTCTAGCCAAGTTCAGGAATGGATCGACTCTAATAAGCATTTCTTAGAGGGTGACATATACATGAAAATACACAAACATGTAGTTTCATGTCAAGTTCAACCACAAGAATTAATTTTGAAGAGGTTTTATGCGTTCATTTCCTATCTCATGAAATCGTTGACGTAAATCTGGCGTTTGCTGTTAACGCAAAACTAAATCTCTCAAAAATCTGTTGTTTCAATTTTATACGTTAACACAAAAATAATCGAAATACAACACTAAAAAATCTAGTATCTAAAGTAATCTAGTACAACAAGGCAAGGCTGAAAAATATTTTCAGGTTAGAATAAGGGTGCGTTCGATTGATCGTTTTCCGGAATAAGAATATGCAAAAGTTTTGTTACAAATTTCTTTTACCGTTTTGTTTGGACCATTAGTACCATTTAAACTTTATATACGAAATAATATATTTTATTCCAGCCAAATCAAGAGATATCTGAATACTATCAATTGAACCTGCCCTAAGTTTCATTATTATATGTTAAAATTTGTTTATTAGCTGGTCAGAGTTAACTGAGTCAGGACAAGATAGAGGAACCCAACGACTGCTTTCTGTAAAATATCTGTTTTGAGACGCAAATATTGCCAATAACTTTCAATTACTTGAGGACGGCCAAAAATTTCTAAATCACCGTTTCATTCATGTACACATATGGGGTCAAGCTCATCTAATAAATTCGCTACGATTTTCTGAAGTTTAATTTCACATTTCATTTCCCAACTTAGGCCATTGTTCGTAGAAAAAAGAAAACCTAAAATTTTGCGAATTCAGAAATTCGATGGAGAGAGGAATCAGAAAATGCCTCACTTTTCGGCTCTTTCGTAACACGTTACATTACATGTAAATGCTCAAAATTCCCTGGGATGACCGAACAGATACGCATTTTATAGTGTCGCTTAAAATGTATTTTTACAGATCTAAAAGTACTCTGGATGGCCTAAAAAGTGTTTTCAATGTATCTAGGAGGATTGACGTCGTTGGGTGCCCCTGACAAGAATACAGAAAAATAGTGTAAAAGGGTTTTTAATATATTTCACCACTGCAGTAGTTAAGTCAAACTGCTTTCTTATTCGTGTTGTCAGCAAATTACAGTGGAACCTTCATTTAACGAACCTCTATATAACGAAGTTCTTGGTATAACGATCGATTTTCTCCAGCCCGGCCAAAATAACAGTAAAATGTGTGGAACATAACCTTGATTTAACGAACCTCTATACAACGAAGTTCTTGGTGTAACCGATCGATTTTCTCCAGCCTGGCCAAAATTACAGTAAAATGTATGGAGCAGAACCTCGATTTAACGAAATCCTCGTTATAACGAACACAATCCCCGGGGACACAATCCACAAGCGCAAACGTAAAATTTACCTCGATAGAACAAACAAATGTCAGCAAGTGATAAACAATGAATGTCAAACAGACCATCAAGGATAAAATTTATATGTACAATAGTTTTAAGCATTTTGTTGGTCTGTTCTTGAGTTTCTAGTGCCGTAGCTATGTATAGCACGGTACTGAAATGTATAACGAACAAATTTCCCCAGTCCCTTGGCACTTCGTTAAATCGAGGTTCCACTATATAACACAACTTAAACATCTCAGACGAAGAAACGTCTCTGGAGTAATTTACACGGCCATTCCTATTAAATGAATAAATGATAATAAGGTAATGGTGAATTCAAGTGTGATGGTCTGGTGGGGTTAACTGTAACAGTATAACTGACAAATCGATTAAAATTTGACTGACCACCGGGCATTTGCTTTGGCTTTTACTGTCAACTGAAAAAGGACCTGATTGTCCTTTGTTTTGTACAAAACCCT